ATCTATAATAAAATGTAATGATTACTTTGATAAAAAGATGACATTCGGTCCGTCCTTACTCTCTGACTGTTGGCGGCAGGTCGTACTCTTACTACATCGAGGTCTCCATGGATGAACTGGACTGGATCCGTGTCGTCGATCATTCACTTTTCTTCTGTCGCTCCTGGCAGAAGCTCTACTTCCCCGCACGGGTCTGCAGGTAAGTGCCCCACTGGGTGTCACTTTCTATTTTTGTTTTCCCTGAGAGACCAGAGACTGTATCTGTTACTATGTGTAGCTTGGGTGTTGGAAACGCTGTGATACGTAATGGCCTTAATTAAAAATAGACCTATACTGATATTTTAAAGAATAAGCACACTTAGACAAAGTACACTTACTTACCCTCCTTTCCTGACCTAAACAATTCCACTCTCGTGCTCTGCAGATATAGAGTTATTGAGATCTGAGGATTGCTGCTCCATTATTTGTTGATAACCAGTCTCTCTTCTTGTGTTCGCCTGCATGTCTCCTCCTCCTGGCCGACTTTGTCTCCCAGGCCCCATAGAAGTCTATGGGGCTGTAATGTGCAGGTGCAGCCAGTAGAGGGAGCATTGCAACACTGGACGTATATGATAGCACATCAGATCTCAGTAAGTACGGATCTGCGGACGGGGGAGAGTGGGATTGCTTAAGTCAGGGGCGGGAGGTAAAAAGGATAAATGCATTTTGTTTATAATAGGTGGGAGGACCATCCTAGTACTGCTGGACTTTTACTTGCTTCCATCCTTGGATTCCATTCCTTGTTGTTCAGTCGGAAAGGACCAGTGGGGGTGAATGCGACTTCCCCTGATTCAACTCCTGGGGGCCCGCGTCGAGACAATTAATATTAGGACCTCTGTATTTATTACACTTTGTACCTAAGGCAGACCTCCTCTGTGTTTTTTTTTTTCTGGGAAAAAAAAATGGTGTCTGCATTTCTTTACACATACCCCCTGTGCCTATACCCAATTTATTTATTTTTATTTTTTTTTACAAAGCTTGCTGGAGTTCTCTCTTTATATACACTGGACAATGTCTGAGGGTGTCCAAGGCATGGCTGCGACTTCCACTTTCACCGGGCGGACTGGTCCTGCCATAATTTTGAATGTACTACTGGGCTGCGGTGTTGGTCACGGTCCGCTGCTGGTTCTCACAACGCTTGGACAACTCAGCAGTGACTTTATAATCTGCTCGTATGCAGAGCTTAGTAATTTGCTGTTCTATTCAGCTGTGACTAGACCCATGCACACTAGGCTTGGGGTGTGGATCCAGGCGTGAAGGAAATTCTCCAAACCTAACGTCATCTCACCCTATACCCCCCCCACCTGTCGCACTTCTATACTATCCCTGATCCCCAGTTGTGGGCACGCTAAGATTATTAAAGTGACATTAAACCCTCAGATTTTTTAACATAAAACAATACTGTAATGTGCGCCTTACTGTAATCCATGGTTGTTTCCCTTCTCTTTGCTGCTCTTCCTTTTAAATCTGTATCTCTTCTCATGCTGGGCAGAACTTCTGTTTTGCAATGGATACATGGTGTCTGTGTGTGTAGGTTCGCAACCTGAGCCAGCACTACAGGAAGAGGCCCTCAGCTGCAAAGGGAAGTTCTGCCCAGCATGAGAAGACATGAGGATTTAAAAGGAAGAGCAGCAAAGAGAAGGCAAACAACCACGGATTACAGTAAGGAGCACATTACAGTATTGGTTTTATGTTAACAAATCTGAGGGTTTAATGTCACTTTAAGCATATTATGCTGCGGGGAGTGCTGTTGGATATCGGCGGACTGAACTCTTTGTATAATTTACCTAACTCATTGCTTTCTAGGTTCACGCCTACCGATCTCAATCTCCTATATCAATTTCTGCAGAATTGGATGGGATTGAACGCTTATGATAACTGACCGATTTCACAAACCTCTTTCTTCACTTTATTTTAGACTGACCTTCTCTGATACTCCTACCCTACCCAGAGTTTATGAAGTGGCAAGATGACATTCCTTCACTGACGGAGGAGGGCTGGGATGGGTGTGGGCAGTGTTACATTACAACAATTGTGTCTCCTACAGATAGATTTATAGAACTTTTTTTGCATGGGTCATATTATGATAGGAGGTTGCAAGCGGTTGACATAATGACTGACTTTGGGTGGACTATGTGAGGGCCGGGGACTTATGTTGGAGGACCAGTGGGGGTGAATGCGACTTCCCCTGATTCAACTCCTGGGGTCCCAAGTGGAGACAATTAATATTAGGACCTCTGTATGTAATACACTTTGTACCTAAGGCTGTTTTTTTTTCGTGGATCCCGATTATGGGTGTTTTCTCGTGGTCCGGGCTTCGTCCCTCCGCTCTTTTTTCCACCAGCTTTAATTTCTGGTCACCTGCCTGAACTGGAATACCTATATAGTACTACAGGAATTGTTGCTGTTATTTGCTCTATAGTCAGACCGCACCCGGGAAGCCGGCTTCCCAGCCAATCAGCATGGAGCCGGCTAAACAGCATGGAGCCGGTTTCCTGGCCAATCAGGAAGCCCGGGATTGATTACCTAGGAAGCCGCCTCTATGCTGTTTGGCCAGCTCAATGCCGGGAGGCCGGCTTGCCAGCCAATCGGCATCGTGCGTGCCAATCGGGAAACTGGGCTGCAAGTCATTACCCTGATTGGCTGGGAAGCCGGCTCCATGTTCCTTCACTGCGTTGCCGGTCAGAGGAAATCTCCCTCTGACTGGAAGTTATGGTATTGGGGGTAAGTATTGGAGCATTTGGGCAAGTACGAGTACTCGCCCAAATACTCGGTATCTGTGAATCCCTAAGGCCCCATTCACATTGAGCGATTCGCAAATCACGCGTTTGCATTGCATTCTCCAAAAAGGGTACTGCTGTAGCGACGCACGACCCGCGACAGCGACGGACAGAGCACCATTGAGATGCATTGGAGAGCGATATCGCGCGGTAAATAGCCGCGATATCGTGGGAATGACCGCGCGATAAATCGCTCAGTGTGAATGGGGCATAATAAATATACCCTTGAAAGTGTTTTTTGTTAAATCTGTTTTCCATGTGGACTGCAGTGACAGGGACTCTTTTTGGTGTCCCCATTCTCAGTCTTGTTGTAGGAGATATTAGTTTGACCTGCAATCTGCTCTGTAATATGATTTTTTTTTCCCCCGATTCTGTATTGTGTTTTCTGCATCAGGATTGTCTTCCCATATTGTGCCACCAGTTGGTAATGTAAATGCAATGCGGAGATGATCCAGAAGGGGGCGCTGCTGTTCTAGAAATTGATTAGTCCGGATTATTTTATAGAGAATCTGTTTGTTTTATCGATGAGTTCCCGTCTTGTAAAGCAGAGGTGCTCAGCCTTTTCTATATACAAGAAGCTCCAGTGTTCTGGGACCCTCTCACGTCAGTATATCAGTGTTCTGGGACCCCCCAGGTGTCAGTCTGTGGTCTGGGATCCCCAAGTGTTAGCATGTCAGTGTTTTTAGACCCCAAACTATCACTGTGTAATTGGTCTGTCACTGTTCTGGTACCCTCCCCCTCCCCCCCAAGTATCAATAAGTCACTGTTATGGTTCCCCAAGTATCGGTATGTCATTGTCAGTCCGACATTGTTCTGGGACCCCCGATTGTCAGTCCGACATCGCTCTGAGACCCCCCCCCGCCCCCCCAAATGATGGGACCCCCCATTGTCAGTCCGACATCGTTCTGGGACCCCCCATTGTCAGTCCGACATCGTTCTGGGACCCCCCATTGTCAGTCCGACATCGTTCTGGGACCCCCCATTGTCAGTCCGACATCGTTCTGGGACCCCCCATTGTCAGTCCGACATCGTTCTGGGACCCCCCATTGTCAGTCCGACATCGTTCTGGGACCCCCCATTGTCAGTCCGACATCGTTCTGGGACCCCCCATTGTCAGTCCGACATCGTTCTGGGACCCCCCATTGTCAGTCCGACATCGTTCTGGGACCCCCCATTGTCAGTCCGACATCGTTCTGGGACCCCCCATTGTCAGTCCGACATCGTTCTGGGACCCCCCATTGTCAGTCCGACATCGTTCTGGGACCCCCCATTGTCAGTCCGACATCGTTCTGGGACCCCCCATTGTCAGTCCGACATCGTTCTGGGACCCCCCATTGTCAGTCCGACATCGTTCTGGGACCCCCCATTGTCAGTCCGACATCGTTCTGGGACCCCCCATTGTCAGTCCGACATCGTTCTGGGACCCCCCATTGTCAGTCCGACATCGTTCTGGGACCCCCCATTGTCAGTCCGACATCGTTCTGGGACCCCCCATTGTCAGTCCGACATCGTTCTGGGACCCCCCATTGTCAGTCCGACATCGTTCTGGGACCCCCCATTGTCAGTCCGACATCGTTCTGGGACCCCCCATTGTCAGTCCGACATCGTTCTGGGACCCCCCATTGTCAGTCCGACATCGTTCTGTGTCCCCCCCATTGTCAGTCCGACATCGTTCTGGGATCCCCCCTTCCCCCCCCGATTGTCAGTCCGACCATCGTTCTGGGGCCTCCAAGTGTCACAAATAACAAGTTAAGATCCCCCTGTGATTGGTTGGGAAGGGGAGGACAAAGTTCCACCTACTCAATTTTCAATATTTAAGAATTATCTTTTTATTTGACACAAATGGATAACTTTGAGTTCTAGCTTCTAACGTAAAAACAATAATTCATGATTTCCCTTTTAACCCTTTCGCTGCCAAGGACGTACGTCGTACGGAGCTACAAAAGTGCTTCCAGCTGGCCAGCTCAGTACGTCGTACGGACCTGGCATTTACAGTTCTACTATAAGCTGATGGCTTATAGTAGAACTGTTCAGTAGAACTCACAAGCCGCTGATGACCGCTAATTTTAAAAATACCGGGATGATATTGAATGATATTTAACGATCCCTCTGTGCAGAGCAAACACCGGAGTGATCGTCTGATCACTCCGGTGTTTGTAAATAACTGGGGACACATAGTACTATGTGTCCCCAGTTATGAATGAACAGGCTGCGATCTACATCACAGCCTGTTCATTCAAGAATTTATAAATGGGGACTAGCACTCAACACAGAGGCTCCTCCCCATTCAGAAACTAATGATAGTGAGAGATTTTTACTATCATTAGTTTGTGAATGAATGAGAAGCCTAATTTTTTACATAAGTCGATTATTTACAGTT